CCAACCGGTGGAGGAGCAGCGGCAAGGGTCGTGCTTGTCCAGGTAGTGCTCCAGCGTGTCCCAGCCGCCACCCACGCGTACCATCACGTGGCTCCTCAGCACCTGTGGGAGCCGCCAAGGGCCGGTCACAGCCTGTCCCGGGGGCCTCGGAGCCCAGCCCTGGGGCGGCTGCTGCAGGCAGCCCCTCTCTCACCCGCACGAAGATGAGCAGGCTGGAGTCTCCGACGCGGTACTTGCCCTCGGAGACCTTGATCATGGGGAACTGGTCCGGGCAGGTGCAGTGGCCCAGGATCTCCCTCACCTGAGGCCAGAGGAGAGGCTGGGGGTCAGGGGGGAAGCCCCTCCTCCCAGAGCCTGCTGTCAGTCACTCCAGGCTCAGGAGGAAGGAGGTCCTTCCGGGGAAGTGGAGCTTGGACTCTGTGGCCCCAGACGTCGTGCAGCCTCTGCACTTGACCTTTCACCAGCTCTCCTTCCCCTTTGGCTGTCAGATGGCGGGGCTGTGGTCAGGCCAGGACTTGGGACCCCAGCGAGGCACATCCCCAAAGCCCCTCAGCCTGGGGGGAGCCCTGGAGCCATCCCCACTCCCCCTTCACCCACTTCACAGACATGAAGACTGAGGCCCAGAGGGAGGCCAGGTCCCGGCAGGAGGCAGGTTACAGGACTTGGCACTGAGGCAGGGATACCACAGACACACCAACATGCACGCACAGGCCACCCGCACGGTGAGCAGACATCTACGCACATGTCCCTCCAGGCCCTGAGCTGCCAGGCTGGCTATGTGGGCGGCCCCGCCTGCCTCCCTGCCCACAGCAGAGCGGAGGAAATGAGCAGGTGGAGCCTCGGGTGACCCTGGCCCAGGACGGGGGTGGGTGGCAGCCTCTGCCCACGCCATCCGGCTGTTGCCCTCCAGAACTGGCACATCGTAGCCCCAAGCCCTCGATAAGGAGGAAACTTGGCCTGGCTGCGGGGGTGTCAGGGACACCGAGGTCCCGGGGGGAGAGGGAGCTGGGGGCATGGTCTGGCCGCCCCTGTGCTCAAGTGGAACTGACTCTGCAGCTCCCAGCAGCAGCTCTGGGTTTGGCTTCCCCGATAAGTGATGTGGGAAGGGCGCGGGGGAGTGGGAGGGGCCAGTGGAGCCCCTGGGAGCTTCCTGAGGCACCACTGAGCACCTACTGTGCGCCAGGCACCTTGTCCAGGGCCAAGTGTCCCGGGCACCCACTTCACATGGAGCAACGTGGATGTGATTGCCTAGCACTTGAGGGCACACGGGAGGGGCTCAGAGCATGTGGCCCCTGGATGAAGGAACACCCGCCCTTGTCTGGTGCCTGGTTAGCAGGTGAAGGAAGGCGGGCACCCGTGCAATCGGCTCCGATTGTATCCCAGGTCGGCTGGGGCTCGTGACCTCCCCAAGACCTCTCCCTCTGTCAGTCTGCTCATCTCCTGGGTGCGAGGTAGACATTCAGTGCTCAATACATGCATCCTTTCCCCGGGACAGGCTGTCCTGCAGAGGTTCGGGACCAGCTGTGGGCACCGGCTCTGCCGTCCGGTCCTGGCACAGCGCAGGGTGAGAGGCTAGCAGGACGGGACTCACCAGCTCGTCCAGGTTGCGCAGGTCCATGGGCGTCATGCGGGGCCCTCGGGTGGGAGCCCCAGGTGCAGCCGC